TCCATCGCCAACCTGGAAAGTAGATGGACTGTGCCCAAACAGCCGTCTCCCCCAAGTGTGAGCTGGCGGCACTTCTCATTCACAGCCAGGGGCTCAGGGGCCTTGCTGTTGTGTTCTGAGCTACTCACCATTTTCAGAGCCCAGTGTCACCAGGCCCAGAAGAGTCAGACCCCCAGGGGAGGAGGAGTGAGTGTCCTCTGGGAAGGGCACTCCTCTGTGGGTTCACTGCTGCTCTTGGGGATGAAGAACAGGGGTCACCTTAAGTGTGATGTCCTCTTTCAGGTCAAATGAAACCCTCCCACATGTATGCCTGAGAGCACCCATCTACCCAGTGGAGGGGAGAAGAACTTAAGCTCTGGGCTCTGGGCAAGAGTGTCCTTTCCCAGAAAATGTGAACTCAGCTCTGTGATTTTTGGCAGGCTCCTCATGTGAGCCGGGGGCAGCCTCACACTCTATCCACAGCGGTTCATGGTAGCTGAAGACAGAGGTGCTCAGGCAACCCTGAGAGGTCAAGAGGGTGGCCATGGGTGGGCAGCTGAGGGATGGAAGCCAGGAAGCGAGGCCTGTGTGGCCCCTGAGCCAGGGGTGGTCAGCTCATGGTGGGCTGTGGGATGTGGGCCTAGGTGCATCACTGTTCCCACCCTGACGGCCACCTTCCCTCCAGCCCCAGAACAGCCTGCCCGACATCGTGATCTGGATGCTGCAGGGAGACAAGCGAGTGGCGTACCAGCGGGTGCCCGCCCACGAGGTCCTCTTCTCCCGGCGGGGTGCCAACTACTGTGGCAAGAATTGTGGGAAGCTGCAGACGATCTTCCTCAAAGTGGGTTCTCCTTCCTCAAGTCATGATCGTATTTTCTTAGCCCAAGACCTGTCCCCCTCCCTCCCTCCTGGTTCTCTGCCTCAGAGTCCTTGGGCTCCCCTCTGGGAAAGGGCAGAGGGCTTTAGGCAAAACTACTTCCCTTCTGTCCCTGACAAAGTCCCTAGACCCCACACGCCTAGTCTAGGAAGCGGGCAGGTGAAAGCAAGAATCAAGGGGCTGTGGGTCTCTGCCCCAGACCCTGTTAGGGGTCCTCAGCCCTCAGCCCCCAAACCCAGCCTCTAAGAGACCTGGCACGGACCTGCCTCCACACCTGTCTGAGCGACTTCCACTCCACCTGGAGCCTCGCTTGGGCTCGAGTTCCTCCTCATGGGAAGACTGGTGTCTGGGCACTGGGTGTGCCCGTGGCTCTGCACCACCTCAGAGCTGGGAGCGAGTAATCCTTCCCGGTCTCGCCACGCTCCCACCTCTCCTTCTTTCTCTTCCTCCATCGCCTTGCTGTTGTGCCCTCCATCTTCTCTCAGGGGACTGACTAGCCTTGAGTGGGGTGACGGAGAAGCAAGCAGGTACCTGAGGACCCTCCGTCCTCTTCTCTGGGTTAATGTGGGGGCATAGAGCCAAGACTGTTTTTGTCGGGGTACCGTGGCCTTGTGGTCAGGACATAATTTGGGGAAGTCCCTCCCCGTGCGGTGGCTTCGCCGGTCCAAGGGGACAGTCCCTGTTTGTGTGCTATCATTGAGGCTGCCCTGCTAGAGGAGAAGTGGCCTTGGGAAGCAGGCTGGCCCCTCACCACCTACTCTGGACTCCGAATGGCCCTGTTGACATTTATAACCGTCTGCTCCTTCTCTGTGCCTATCCTCCCATCCACACCAGGACTAACTCCCACCTCTCCTCTTCCAGGAAGTCACTGTTGACTAAGCTTAGCCTCAAACCTCTGAGTGGCTGTTGGTCAGCCCATTCATATATTGGCCAGTCATTCTGGTCACCCCCTGGGTTGGGTAGAGAGGATAGGTTTCAATGGCACAGTATGTGTGGACAGATTGCAGGGTTGGCTAGAATCCTGTGTGGTCTTAGGTAGGTTGCCTAAGCTCTCTGAACTGCTGGCTGTCTTCTTGCCTGTAAAATGAAGATCAGATGGCCCCCTTCATAGGTTTTGAGGGCTGAATTAGGTAACACAGGTCATGGGTCTTGCTGGAACTAGGTGATCAATGAATGTTAGTTTCTCTCTCCTCTTCCCCCTTTTTCCTTCTTGGGAGCTCCCTTGTTCCCTTGGGAAAGGAGGCTCATCTAGCACCATGACTAGAGGTCAACCCAAGGTCAGGGATGAGCAGATATCTTCACGTGGGTCATTGATACCTCAGACAAGAGGCTGGCTGTGCCTAGAAAGAGGGTGGGGACGGTGGTGTCAGGCTGTGGGCTGCCCCTTCCACCTGCTCATATGCCACCACAGACATTCCCCTTGCAATCTCAACCTCCTAGAAATCCGCTTTTCTCTCTCCTAAGCCAGCTCCTTGCTTGGTAGGACAGGAAGGCCAGGAAGTCAAGGAGCTGCCACATTTGAATGGGGTTACCCGGGGAAGGCTGTCTGGCTGGAGTGGAGATGGGGCCGCAGGAGGGTGCCTGCTGGGTGCGCTCCAACTGATGAGCTCCGGGCTCTGGCCTCTCTGCCCTGCAGCCTTGGGGAAACCTGTGGTCTGGAGGTTAGAGGACAGAGTGGGGCCGGAGGGGCACACAGGGACATGGTCACCATGGAGAGGGCCTCAGTGACTGGCTGCGTATGTCCCACTGGCCCAGCCTGACAGCCTGGGTGTGGAGGGTGGGCCGGGGCTCTGCTCATGACTCATGCGTTGTGTGGACCTTGGCAGGTCTGAGGTGCCTGAAACATCTGAGACGGGTGGGACCCAAGTCCTGGGCTGCCCTCCTTGGCTTTTCAGAGTTCTTGGAGGATTTAGCTTAAATGCTTCTGCTAAAGCCTGGACCCCTTGAGTTGCTCTTCTCATGCTATAAGGGGGCATGGGGCCCCCTGAGGGGTGCTGGTCCTAGGTCAGGAGCTTAGGAGGAGGTTCCCATCCTCTGGGGAATGCACGCATGGCTCTACAGGGGTGGAATGCCTGCCATCAGGACCAATTCCTTCAGGCACCACCTGAGGCCACCACCATCCCTGAGGCCACAGCAGGAGGCTTCCTCTACCTCTGGCTCTGCGCCGGCATCGTCACAGCTGACAGGCAGGGCAGCCAGGCACAGGGTTCATGAGCCAGCTCGCATTGGTTGACCCGTTTCTCAGCCAGCCCCTGCCCATGCCTCCAACATCAGTGTCCTTCATTCCATCAGACCCTTTTCCTGCCTCATCTCCCTGGGAGCCTCTCTCCCTCTGGCCACTGGCGCCCACTCCGTTCTTCCAGCCCAGCCCTCTCCTTTCATCTGTACACCCGCAGACAAAAAAAGATATAGAATTGTTTCTCGAAGTCTTCCCCACTGAGTTTATGAGCCCCGCCAGTAGCTCCTGAGCAAGCTCTACAAAAATGTTGGCAGCAAGCAGAGACCAATCTCCACCTGGGTGTCCTGCCAGTACATTCATTTCATTCTCTGAGATCTTCCTAAAACTATGCCATGCCACCTCCACTTCAGCCCTTCAATGTCTCCCAGCTCTCAGCCTGGGGGACAGGCCACTCCTTGCTCACAGACCACGACAGTCCTACCCTCTGGCCTCCTGTCTCTGAGCCTTTGTCTTGTACGTTTACTGCTCCTCTGCCAGAGCACCCTTCCTGCTCTTTTTGGCCTGACGAGCTCCTGCTGGCTCAGCTGGGTGCAGCCAGGGGACACTTCCTCCAGGGAGTACTCCTGACTCTGAGGCTGCTCAGTGGGGGCTCCCCAAAGGCAGGGCTAGACCCAGCCCCCAGCCAGGACCAGCGAAGCTGTTGTTCACGAGGAGTGAAACGAATGATCCCGCAGCCAGGTCATCTTTCGGGCTGGACACTGCGGCTCCTAGGCAGCTCTACCTGATGAGGCAGCCGCTCACCGCAGGGGCAGGCAGTGACTTTGTGAGCAGTCCAGCTCTGCTCTCAGCCTGTGCTGAGCCCTGCCTGCCTTTTCCAGGTTAGCCAGAGTTGGCAGGGTCAACTGTCCCTCTTGGGGTTTGGGGGTACGGTGTCATCCAGCCTCCTCTTCTGGGTCTCCCTTTCTTCCCACACCCCCTGCCTTGGGCTTTCCTGGGGTGGGACCGGTCTGAGACATCTCGTTAGTGGCAGTCGCAGGTCCCAGCTATTTCTTGGGGAGTCTTGGCTGGGCTGGTGGCTTCCGTGAAAATCTCCCTTTGGTGGTCTGTATGGCAGTCCCTCCCAGCTCCTGACCCAGGCTGGGGGCATAAATCACCCTGGTTGGCTTGGCTCTCCATATTCCACTCCAGACCTGCCTGCCCCCACCCTCAGGCTCACGCAGGCCTCCTTCCCAGGCAGGCTCCAGCCAGGACTCTGGCCCAGGCCCCCCTTTACCCACCGAACATGCCCCTCCGCCACGTTTGAGGGAGCCGGGGATGGAGGCCGCCCCTCTCCTGGCCTGGGGCAGCCCCATCCGCGGCACCCTCGGGGCAGTAAATATTATATTACTACAGGGTGTGCAGTACGTGACCTGAGACAGGTCCCGGGGCTTAAGTTTCCTGAGATGGAGTTTGCGTACTGCTCCCCCCACCCTAAAAATTCAATTAAAAAAAATAACAGGAAAAATGTAGTGCGCCGAGGGCCTGCCAGAGTGGTGTATCTGGCGGCGGCGGTGCCGCTGCGCTCCGGCGGTAATTGGTTCTGCATAGCTCGGGGAAATTGGCAGAAAAATAAATCAGCCGGGAGCCGGAGTCGAGACGCTGCGGGGAGGGGAGCATGAGGTGGGGGGTGCTGCAAGTGGTGGGAGCAGAACTGGCGGAGTGGGTTTGACTGATGTCCTGCTGGGGAGTCAAGGGCTCAGCGGAGGTGGGGCAGGCCCCCACACCTTCAAGCACGGGTAGTCTAGAGGGGTTCTGCTTGGCGAGGGAGGGCACACACCTCCCCCTCCCCACCCATCCCGCAGGATCCTTGCGTGTGTACTGACTGACCCCGGAGGCTTGGTATGGTGAGCAGGAGCCATACGAAGGGCTTTTCGGGAGCCCAGTGGGATGGGGGGTCACAGTTTTTTGCCTCCAAACAGGACGGAGTTTAAACCCAACCCCAAACTTGGGGTCTAGGCCTGTGTTTCTGGGACTGCATGTCCCCCCTTCCTACCTCGTCTCCAAAGGCTTCTCGAACAGAGGGTTCTGGGAGGGGTGTTGTGGGGCCGACCAAGTCGACACATCTGTATTGCTGGCTGCCGGCCTCCCCACAGCGTCTGCAGTGGCTTGTCAGGGGTCCATAAATTTCCTTCTTGAAGAAAGTGTGCGTACAACAGAATGGATTTGTTTCAGCCAAAGGCAACTTAGTGCTCTAGTCTCTGCTCTAGGTGGATGCAGGGGGCAGGGAGGGACCCGCCTGGGAACTTCAGAGCAGAGGCAAGTGGGCCAGTGTGGTTGGGGAAGGCTTCCTGGAGGAGGTGAGGATGGAGCAGGTCATATAGAGATGACTATGCATGTGGGTCAGGCTGGAGAAGGTGCCCAGGACACATGGAGTGCCGGGCAGGCAGGCTGAGGGTGTGTGACCTGTTGTGGGAGCCTGTGCACAGACACGTCTGGACTTGGATGTGCACTGGACCTGCTTATCACAGGCACATCTCATATGTCTGTCTCTTATAGCCAGTCCCTGGGCGACGTCCAAGAGATACCCTCTGACACCCACCTGGACCAGTACCTGTACAAGCTGCGTACCCGTCACCTGAGCCAGATCACCGAGGCAGCCTTGACCCTGAAGCTTGGCCACTGCGAGTTCTCTGCCATCTTAGAGCAGGCTGAGGACTGGCTCCAGCGTCTTCGTGCCCTGGCAGATGAGGTAGCTAACCCTGCGAGGCATCTTCCTTCCTGCCTGGAATATTAGAACTGGCAGGGA